TCTGGGGCTGGGGGTCCTGGTGGGGCCCATCTCAGGAGGTCAGAGGGAGCTCCCTCCCAGGGCTGGGGGTCCTGGTAGGGCCCATCTCAGGAAGTCAGAGGGGGCTCTCCCCTTTCTGGGGCTGGGGGTCCTGGTGGGTCCCATCTCAGAAGGTCAGAGGGGGCTCCCAGGCGGGGGTCTTGGGCTGGCACTGGGCGCTCACCAACAAGCCCCTCATGGCGTGTCCCGTGCGTGTCCTGTCTGGCGCTGACCGCCCAAGGACACGAGGAGCACCCAGGCCCTGCCTTAACTCTTGGTCAGACTCCAGAAGCGACAGCTGGGGGGGCGGGGCCTGGCGGAGAGGGGTGGAAACTCGCGGAATTGGAGGAAGGGTTCAGGGATGGTCCAATGAGCACGAGATACTCCGCCCCTCTCCCCAAGCCTGGGCTCAGAGGTCGTGCCCAGGCACCTCGTGGAAAAAGCCAGGATTGGCTGTCCTGCCTATCAATCTAGAGCTTTGCGTTTCCATTGGTCAGAGCGGGCACAGCCCGCAATGGACCGAGAGACTCCTGGAGCCCAGGTTAGGTGAAATTGTCATTCAGCTTCTGGGGCCAGTTCAGCGCTGCTCCCAGAGAATCTGATGCACTCCCTCTTCCGAAGACTGCAGGTACCTGCCCCACCCGCCCACCTCATTCACTTGCGCCCTGGAGGAAAGACCTATTTGCCCTATGGTAGTTCCGCATCTTTACTTGCCTCAGTTTACCTTCAATCTGTCCAAGGGATAGTTGACCACTACATCACTTCCCCATAGAGAAGACCTTTTTATCTTAACAAAAAAGATAAGGGTGATAAGTCTAGGATAAGGTCAGGGTTAGTTAGATTTAGGCTTAGGGTCACACTCAGGGTCAAGGGTCAGGGCCTCCTTTAACATTTTTCATTAAGAGACATAGGGGCCTAATGCCAGGATAATCACCATTTCTGCTTGTTTGGCCTCACCTGATGTCATAGTACATCCATTTTGTTTCAGCCTTCAGTTTTCTTTCTGTGTGTGTATTTATTCTAAATGCATTTCTACAAAAAAAAAAAAACCAATAAATGCATTTCTTGGATATAATAGTTTGCTGACTTATTTTCCTATCTATTCTTTCATTCTCTTTCAATTTATTGGATTGTGTAATCCATTCATTGAGGAAGGAAATGACAAAGCACTCCCGTATTTTTGCCAAGAAAACCCCAAATGGGGTCACAAAGAGTCGCAAGTAACTGAAGTGACTGAACAACAATAACAAAAATCCATTCATGTGATAATCTTACCTAACATTTAGATTGTTTTCAGGTCGACAAAACACCTTGTAGATATATCTCCATAACATATAACCTATATCTCAAAATAACCCTAAGATGTAGATGCTATTATCATCATCAATGGTGGTAGAGTAACAATAGAGACCAGCACCCCACTCCTCATCCTCCTGCTAATTGGAATTCCTTCTGACTCAAGCAATTTCCACTTATATTTTATAAGAATCCTAAAATAAAATATGAAATCTCACAGTAACTTAAAATAGAGATATATAATTTAAGTTTGGGATTTTTTTTTAAAATTTACCAAATAGAAAAATAGTCATAATAATGCCAGTGCACCCTTGCAGAAAATATCTTCCTGAAATTCTTTTTACTCCCTTTCCAAATCCAGTCAAGGCTAAATGAAGAGTTACTCCTCTTAATTAAATCAAACAGAGGCATCTCTACTCTTCATTCTACCATAAATAAGATTACATCTTCTAGCTTCAAGGAATCAGCTCCCCAACTCCTACCTGGAACTGTCAGGTCAGATCCCTAAAAATCAGCTGATAATTATTCCCCAGTGGGTCCTAGGGACGACCTTGAGAATGTCTGGAGTTTCTAACACTAGCATTCCCAAGTCCCCATCCTGTGTGCTTCCCATTATCAGTCAGCCAGTAGCAGTCTCTTAGTTTTTAGAAAAGGGTGCTTACAGAGAAAGTATCGCAAAACCAGTTGCTATTCCCCCAACCTGGGTGCATAGTTTCCCCTCACACACACAAGGTCCCTTGGAAGAATGGATTCAAAGTACAATGGGAGTGAGAAATACTTGTCGAGAATGTATGAAGGTGAGGAGTACTAACATCACGAAAGAATAAACATCCAAGAAATGAGTCGGCATGTGCACTCGGACACAGGGCGACCAGGTGGGAAATAGGCAGTCACCTTTCTCTCACCAAGGAGCTCACCACAATTCTAGCTCACTGGCTGCTAGGAAGGACAAATTTTTAAAAAAGAAAAAAGGCAGATAATCCTCTTTGCATACTCACTTAGTGCATGAACTCAACCGCTTATGAGTCATTAATCCTTTCAGATCCTCAGTCAACCAGAAAACCCTTTATCACCACCCTTCAGTGACACAAGGCCACAAGTAGGCTCACCAAGCTTCTCCATCTTAGAATGGAACCAGATCTATCTACTTATCTTTGTATCTATCTTTTAAATACCTTTCAGCAAGAAAAAACCCCATGACTTTGGAGTTTATTCTGCCCAGCAGAAAACCTTGCTTTTTTCCTACATTTGGCAAAGCTTCCAAGTGCTGACCTTGGCTGAAAATGAAGCAAGCCCTATTTCCCAGGGATTGTGACTCCTCCTGGCAGAAAGAGCAAAGGATCCCTTTTCCTTGTTCTCAAGCAGCTCAGCCCTACCATATCAGGACAACTTCAATCAATCAATCAATCAATGAAAATTCACTAAGGGTTTGTCTCTTACTCATAGTACCAGGCCCTTGGTGTGCTCGGTGCTCAGAATACAAAGCCCTCACTGAGAATGGGGGCAGAGCCAAGATGGCAGAGTAAAGGCAGGGACTCCCTGAGCTCTCCTCTAAACCCCTCCAAATACCTTTAAATAAGGACTCTAAACAAATTCTAGAGCAGCAGAAGCCACAAAAAGATGGAGTGAAACAATTTTCCAGCCCAAGAAAACTTGAAAGGTCAGCAGGAAAGGTCTGTTGCACCAGGGTGAGAGAGGAGTTCAGTCCAGTACAGGCTAAGCCAATGCAGACCAAGCCCCAGCAAACCAGGAGCAGACCTTGGGAGCCACTGAATTGCAGCAGCAGCAGCAGCAGCAGCAGCAGCAGCTTCTGGAATTCTCAGCCCACAGATGGCAAGGGGGCCAAAGAACTGATCAGAAGGAGACTACAGGGGTCTCTTTGCTGACACTGAGGCAGGACTCTGTTGCTTTGCCCCTACTCAGATCCAGGTCGAAGTCTCAGGGCAAGGAAGAGCACTAGCACACCTGAACTTGTGGTCACAGTTCCAGGGCAGAAAAGAGTGCTTGTGGTCACTCACAGACCAGAACACAGACCGGGAGAGTAGTAAACACACCTCTCCCTAGATCATACCACCTTAGAAAAACTGAAAACTTACAGGTCCCTAGAAGTATCTCTGACAAAACCTGGACAAACCCCTAAAACTTAGAACAGTGCACCCTCCACCCTGGAAGCAGAGCCCTACTCTAACAAAGAGTTAAAAATCCAGTAATAGGCTGGAAAAATGGGCAAACGATGGGAAAAAAAACTCTTGACTATAGAAAGTTACCATGGTGACAAGAAGATCAAAATACACACTCAGAAGAAGATAGCAAAGTCAAAGCTCCTACATAAAAAGCCTCCAAGAAAAATATGAATTGGTCTCAAGCCATGGAAGAGATGAAAAAGGATTTTGAAAAGCAAGTAAAAGAAATAGAGGAAAAAATGGGAAGAGAAATGAGAGAGATGCAAGAAAATCATGAAAAATGAGTCAACAGCTTGGTAAAGGAGACCCAAAAAATACTGAAGAAAATAGCACCTTGAAAAATAGATGAGGCCAAATGGTAAAAGAGGTTCAAAAATCCAATGAGAAAAATGCCTTAAAAAGCAGAATTGGCCAAATGGAAAAAGGGGCACAAAAATTCACTGGAAAAAAAAAAAAAAAACTCCTTAAAAAGTAGAACTGGCCAAATGGAAAAAAAAGGTCCAAAAGCTCATTGAAGAAAATAATTCCTTAAAAATTAGAATTGAGCAAAGGGAAGCTAATGACTTTATGAGATATCAGAAAACAATAAAACAAAACCAAAAGAATGAAAAAAATAGAAGACAATGTGAAATATCTCACTGGAAAAACAACTGACCTGGAAAAATAGATCCAGGAAAGATAATTTAAAAATTCTTGGACTAACTGAAAGCCATAATAAAAAAAAGAGCCTAGACATTATCTTTCAAGAAATTATCAAGGAAAACTGCCCTGATATTCTAGAATCAGAGGGTAAAATAGAAATTGAAAGAATTCACCCATCACCTCCTGAAAGACATCCCAAAATGAAAACTCCCAGGAATGTTATAGACAAATTCCAGAGCTCTCAGGTCAAGGAGAAAATATTGCAAGCAGCCAGAAAGAAACAATTCAAGTATTGTGTAGCCACAGTCAATATAACACAAGATATAGCAGCTTCTACATTAAAGGAATGGAGGGCTTGGAATATGATATTATGGAGGGCAAAGCAGCTAGGATTATAACCAAAAAGCACCTACTCAGCAAAACTGAGTATAATCCTTCAGGAGAAAAAAATGGATCTTCAGTGAAATAGAAGACTTTCAAGCATTCCTGATGAAAAGACCAGGGCTGAACAGAAAATCTGACTTTCTCATTCTCCAATTGATAAATGGTCAAAGGATATGAATAGGCAGTTTTCAGAGGAAGAAATTAAAGCTATCTATAGTCATATGAAAAAATACTTTAAATCACTATTGATTAGAAAAATGCAAATAAAAACAACTCTGAAGTACCACATCACACCTATCAGATTAGCTAACATGATAAGACAGGAAAATGATAAATGTTGGAGAAGATGTGGGCAAATTGGAACACTAATGCATTGTTGATGATGTTGTAAACTGATCCAACAATTCTGGAGAGCAATTTGGAACCATGCCCAAAGGGCTATAAAACTGTGTATACCCTTTGACCCAGAAATAGCACTTCTGGGGCTATTATCCCAAAGAGATCATAAAAATGGGAAAAGGACCCACATGTACAAAAATATTTATATCAGCTTTTTTTTATGGTGGCCAAGAATTGGAAATCGAGGGGATGCCCATCAACTGGAGAATGGCCAAACAAGTTGTGGTATATGAATGCAATGGAATACTGTTATGCTACAAGAAATGATGAGCAGGCAGACTTCAGAAAAACCTGGAAAGACTTATATGAACTGATGCAGAGTGAAATGAGCAGAACCAGGAGAACATTGTACACAGTAATAGCCACAGTGTG